CAATCAGTTCATACCTATTGATAATTACACTGAATATCAATGGATTAACTGTACCAGTGAAGAGACATAAAGAGCAGAATGGATAAGAAAACAGGATCCTTCAAAATGCTGTCTACGAGAGACATATCAAAAAGATGGAAACAGCCTAAATACCCATCAACAGAAGGATGGTTAAACACACTTTGTTCATGTACACAACGGAATGCTACAAAAGCTTTGCAGAATAAGGGTGAATCTGTGAAGCACCTCACAACATCGTTGAGCCTGGAGGCCATTATGCTGAGTGAAACTAGCCAACCACAAAAGGACAAACATTGTATGAGACCAAGGTTGTAAAAAGCTAAGAAAATGTTTTCTTAATAAAGGAAACAATCTAGGATAGTTGGGAGGAAGGGGCTAGCAGGTAGGCACATGTTAACATGGATGACAGGGTAGGCAATATACAATGAGAGGGAAGTTAGCAAAGGAAAGAAGAAGGTAGCAGAAGACCCAGGGAGGAATGAAGTAGTTAAGTAAATAGAGACAAATGCTGTTAACTGATGGTACATGGAGGGGATTGCAACCATGTAATGAATTTGTTGAATGTAAAACTGATGATCTGCTCTGTAAAGCTTCACTCATTTCACAATAAAAAGCTTTAAAAAAAACAAAAACAAAGGCAACCCACAGACTGCTAAAAGAACAAACAAATCCATGTTAGAAGAAGTACAGTCAGGATGCTCCTTAGAGTCCAGGATCGCAAGGCCTTGTCTCTCATAATTCGGACATATTATCGGGAGGGACCAGTCCCTGGAGAAGGCCATCAGGCTAGGTAAAATGGAGGGTCAACAGAAAAGAGGAAGCCCCTCAAGGAGATGGATTGGCACAGGGGCAGCAGTATTGGGCTCACGCGTCACAGTGATTGGGAGGATGGCGCTTCATTCTGTTGTGCTCTGAGTCGGAATCAACTTAACAGCACCTTCTGACTTCTAAATGGCCTGTCTAATGAACACAAGCAGTAAGTCTCATTTGGGAAAAAAAGGTAAAAATAAGATATCCAGGGCAAATTGTTTCCCACTTCTTGGTTGTGAAATTGGGGCACAACAGTAAGTTGGCTCTTGAGGTCCCAGACTAAATGAGGAATTCCTTCCCATGAGAAAAAGGGTGTTACCTCTGAAGCTAGTGATAAAAATAATAGGCATGAAGTCAGAGCGCAGGAGAATTGAAGTATGGCTCCGCCTAGACAGGCAAAGGTAGAAGCAGTGATGGAGGACAGGTCCAACAGTGGCTGATGAAAGAGGCTTAAAGAGAATGGGGACAAAAAGAAACACGCTAAGGTGAAATCGAGCAGATTATTATTTGCATGCCTGAATATTTTACATTGAATGGAAAGTTCTAACATGTGGGCCCTGAAAAATACTGATTCTGCCAAGGTGGACAGCTACCATTCATCTTTCAGTTTGTTGTACTGTAACGGCTTTTGTGATGCTGTAATGCTGCATCAAATAATGCTACCATCATTTTAGAAGCCAGCAGGCTCACCTATGGTGGACAGGTTTCAATTAAGCTTCCAGACTAAGACCGACAGGAAGGAAGGAAGGTGGACTACTTCTGAATGGTTAACCTCGGAAAACTTTATGAATAGCAGTGGAGTAGTGTCTGAGGTGCTGCCAGAAGACGAGCACCTAAGGTTGGAAGGCATTCAAAATATGACGGGGGAAGATTGGCCTCCTCTAAGCAGAATTGGCTTTAATGACATGAACACAGTCAAGCTTTTGGGACCTTCATGTGCTGATGGGGCACAACTCAAAATGATAACAAACAGCTCTCAAACATCCATTAATAGTCAAAACATGGAATGTAAGAAGTATGAATCTAGGAAATTTGGATGTTGTCAAAAATGAAATGGAATACATAAACATCAATATCCTAGCATTTGTGAGCTGAAATGGACTGGTATGGCCATTTTGAATATGACAGCCACATGGTTTACTATGCCAGAAATGGCAAATTGAAGATCAACAACATCACACTCATCATCAAAAAGAACATTTCAAAATCTATCTTGTAATACAATGCTGTCTGTGATAGGATACTATCCGTATGCCTACAAAGAAGACCAGTTAGTACAACTATTATTCAAATTTATGCACCAACCACTAAAGCCAGTGATGATGAAATTAAAGAATTCTATCAACTTCTTCAATCTGAAATTGATCAAAAGTGTAATCAAGGTGTATTGATAATTACTGGCTATTGGAATGCGAAAACTGGAAGCAAAGAAGAAGGATCAGTCGTTGGAAAATACAGCCTTGGTGATAGAAATGATGCTGGATATTGCATGATAGAATTTTGCAAGACCAATGACTTCATTGCAAATACCTGTTTTAAACAACACAAAAGATGATTATACACATGGATCTCATGAGATGGAATACACAGAAATCAAATTGATTACATCTGTGTAATGAGGTGATGATAAAGCACCATGTTGTTGTTGTTAGGTGCTACTGACTCATAGCAACCTTATGCACAGCAGAAGGAAACACTGCCCAATCTTGGGCCAACCTCACTACTATTGCCATGATTGAGTTCATCCATGCTGCCACTTGGCCAATCCATCTCATTGGGAGTCTTCCTCTTTCTCTCTGACCCTTTACCTTACCAAACATGGTACCATATCACCAGCCAAAACAAAGCCAGGAGCAGACTGTGGAACAGACCCTTAATTTCTCATATGCAAGTTCAGGCTGAAGCGAAGAAAATTAAAACAACTTCAGCAGAGCTAAAATATACCCAGAACATATCCCACCTGAATTTAGAGATCATCTCAATAACTGATTTAAGAAATTAGACACTAATGATTGAAGACCAGAATAGTTATGGGATGACATCAAGATCATACAGGAAGTAAGCAAAAGGTCACTAAGAAGACAAGAAAACAGGAAAAGACCAAAATGGATGTCAGAAGAGATTCTGAAATGTGTTCTCCAGCATAGAGATGCTAAAGCAAATGTCAAAGACTTCATTTTGCTTGGGTCCACAATTAATGTTCATGGAAGCAGCAATCAAAGAATTTAAATCATATCGTGTTAGAAGCCACCCTGCTGTACAAGACCTCTTTAAAGTGTCCAAGAGCAGACATAGCAGTTTGAGGACTTAGGTGCACCTGACCAAGCCTTGGTACTTTCAGTCACCTCATATGCATGTGAAAATTGAACAATTAATAAACAAGACCATTGATGCATTTAAATTATGGTGTTGGGTGAAATATTGAAAGTACCATGGACTAACTTGGAAGAAGTACAATCAGAATGCTCTTTAGATGTGAGGATGACAAGACTTCTTCTGTTGTACTTTGAACATGTTGTCAGGAGAGACCAGACCCTGGAAGAGGACGTCATGCTTAGAAAAGTGGAGGGTCAGCGACAAAAGTGAAGCTTCCCAATGTAATGAACGGACACAGTGGTAGCAACAATGAACTCTAAAATCATGTCAATTGTGAGGCTGACTCGGGACCCTGTAGCATTTTGTTCTGTTGTGCATAGGGTCGCTATGAGTCGAAACTGACTTGACGGCACCTAACCACAAGACAGACGTGGATGGTTTGGGATGTTGAAGGAGGCTGGACACCAACTCCTGAGGAAAACTCTGAATCTAATTCCCTGCTCCACACAGCTGTGCAGTACCCATGACAGGAGTGACTGTCACCCCTACATCCTAAGGCTAAGGGCTGCCCAAGATTGAACCGGAAAAGCTAAACTCAGAGTCAAGTACAAGGAATAAGCAGAGCACTAGAAATAAGATATGAAACCAATGAGGTAAGAAGTACAATAAATTAGGATTAGAGTAAAAAGAAAATAGCAAAAAAGAGTGCCAAGTAAAAGGAAAAAATTACCAGGCAATGCAACAAATATAATAATTCATTTTCAACAAAGGGATCCCCACAATTCAATGAGGAACAAATGATATTTTCACCAGTTGATGCTGGGACAACTGGATAACCACATGCAAAGAACTGAAGTTGGACTCCTGTTCCATAGCACACACAAAACCTAATTCAAAGGGGGTCATAGACCTACATATAAAAACCATGAAACTCTTAAAAGAAAGCATGGGAATAACTTCTATGATCTTGGATCAAACAAAGATTTCTTAGATCTGAGTCCAGAAACACAAAGAGTAAATGTTGTCAAGAGCAAAATGGATGAGCTGTAATCATGGTAATGTAATGTAACACAAGAAATAAGGAAAAGATCCACATGCATGTCAGAAGAGACACTGAAACTTGCTCTCCAGCATAGAGATGCTAAAGCACATGGAAGAAATGAGGAGGCAAAACTGCTGAGCAGAAAATTTCAAAGGTCACCTGGAAAAAACAAAGTCACTGTACCAAAAGGAAATGGTTGATGTTCATCCATTTTAAGAGGTAGCATATGATCAAGAGCCAATGATACTGAAGGAAGAAGTCCAAGGTGCATTGAAGGAATTGGCAAAGAACAAGGCACCAGGAACTGATAAATAAAAATTAAACTTTTTCAAGAAAGTGAGGCAGCACAGGAGGCACTCAGTCATCTATGCCAAGACATTTGGAAGATAACTATCTGGCCAACTGATTGGAAGAGATCCATATTTATGCCCATTCCAAAGAGAGGTGACCCAACGGAATGCAGAAATCATTGGACAATCTCTTTGATATCCCATGTGAGTAAAGTTTTACTAAAGGTAATACAGAAAAGGCTTCAAGCATACATTGACAGAGAACTTCCAGAGGTTCAAGCTGGATTCAGAAGAGGACGTGGAATGAGGGATATCATTGCTGGTATCTGATGGATCTTGGCTGAAAACAGAGAATACCAGAAAAAAATGTTTACCTGTGCTTTATTGACTATGCAAAGGCTTTTGATTGTGGAGATCATGACAAGCTATGGACAACATTGCAAAGTATGAATATTCCAGAACATTTAATGTGCTCATGAGGAATCTACATAGAGCAAGATTGAAGTTGTCAAGGACTTCATTCTTCTTGGATCCACCATCAACACTCACAGAAGCAGCAGCCAAGAAATCAAATGACGTGTTGCATTAGGCAAATCTGCTGCACAAGACCTTTTTAAATTGTTGAAGAACAAAGATGGCAGCTTGAGGACTAAGGTGAACCTGACCCAAGCCATGATATTTTCGATAACCTCAAACACATACAAAAGCTGTACAGTGAATAAGGAAGACCGTAGAAGAATTGCTGCATTTGAGTTATGGTGTTGGAGGAGAATATTGAAAGTGCCATGGGCCGCCAAAAGAACCAATAGATCCATTTGGAAGAAGTGCAGCTAGAGTGCTCCTTGGAGACGAGGATGGCCAAACTTCATCTCTCATACTTTGGGCATGAGAGGGAACAGTCACTGGAAAAGGATATCATGTTTGGTAAGGTGGAGGGTTAGAGAAAAAGAAGAAGACCCCCCAATGAGATGGATTGGCAAAGTGGCAGCATCAGTGGACTCAAGTGTGGCAACAACTGTGAGGTAGGCCCAGGATTGGGCAGTGTTTTGACTATGAGTGGATTGAACTAGTGAGACATGTAACAACATGGATGACTCCAAAAAGCAAATGAAAACATATTGAGATAAAGTAAGCCTTATACAACAGACTGCATAGTTCATGGTTCTCTTACTATTAAGTTCTGCAAAAGATGAAATTAATACATGGTAGAACTCAGAAAAGAAGTGACTTTCTGTATGTTGTGGCTTTACTGGAAAGGGACCAAAGATAATTTTCTGGCATGATAGAAAGAGATTTCATGATTTGGGGCACATTCCTAAAAACTCATTTGATTATGCATTTAAGATCTATGGATTTCACTTCATGGCATTTTCTTGGAAGGTACTGTTTTGATTGGACTATTTGTGAAGGCACCCTAACAAGACCAAGTAAGGTGTATTTATGAGGGGACTTGTCTACAGCCACCCACTGATCACAGGGACATGTTTAGACATGCTTTGTTTAGAATAAATCTGTTCGTGTATTAACTGGAACACTTTGACTTACCCTCGCATACCTTGGAGTGGAATTACTAAGTCCTGTAGTTGAGTCCTGGTGTGGCTCTGTGGGGTTAATGCATTGGATTGCAAAGTCAGTTTGATCCACAAAGCTGACAGTTCCAGGCTCACCAGCTGCTTCTTGGAAACCCTATATGAGTCGGAACTGACTTGATGACACTTACAACAACAGAGTGGAGGCCTGGTGTGACACTGTAGAATAAACTGCAAGGTCATTTGTGGCTCTGTGAAAACCCTCGACGGTCGCTTTGAGTTGGAACCGACCCGACACTATTTAACAACTACAACATGTAGAGAGTGAGTGCAGAAAGGGAGCTCCTAATGAGGTGGGCTGGCACAGTGGCCACAACAGTGGGTTCAAACACTGCCCTATCACACATGGGGTCCCTGGGGTCCCTGTGAATTGGGTCACTTTTTAAAGAACTACCTTTCCGTTTTCACAGCACTGCTTTACAATCTCGCCTGCAAAGTTCAAGGAGTCCAGCTCCTCTACACGCTCACCCATATGTGCTAGACTTCCTCTTTTCGAAACGACCATTTACTGGATATGAAGTCATATCTCGATATGGTTCTGATTTAGATGTCAGTGGTGACTAATGATGCTGAGCGTCTCTGCATGTGCTTACTGTACGTCTTTTCAAGTCTTTGCCCATTTTTGCCATTGGTTGGTCTGTCTGTCTGTTGTTGAGATGTCAGAGGTTTTCTTCCTTCTGGTTAGTAAACTTTATCAACTGTATGATTTATGAATATTTCATCCACTCTGTAGGATGTCTTTTCACGTTCGTAACACACAAACATTCTCAATTGAAGTTCAATGGATACATCGGTGAGGATCGAGCTCCACAAGGCCTGTTATCTTTTAAGAGGGAAAGTACAAGTATAGAAAGCGCCTGTCAAAATATCTGAAAAGGTGGCTTCCCTTCGGAAACGCGGCGACACACACAGAGACACCTTCTCTCCTGGGGCCGGGGTTTAGGGCTTGTGCTGCACTTCTTCATACATCAGTTCTGAATACTTTTTCTGTGTCTTCCCTGGAACTGGTAGCCCACGTTGCAACGGCTGCAGGAGGCATCATCTTCTTCTTCACCTACCTGCCGTACCTGTACATTACTTTCAGCTACACCCAGAGAAGCCACCTCCAAAAGGTCATCTCTTGTCTCTTCTCAAACGTCGCCATGGCCCTGGGGATCCGATTCATATCCTTATCAGAGGCCAAAGGTGAGCTCTCTCTTTCCCTGTATGCTTTACTACACTGCCTTGTTGGTTTGCCGCATAGCTAACACACTAGGTGGGCCTTGGTTTTCAGATAAAAACCACTGGTCCCCCACCACACACATACATACACAGACACATACACACACAACTATTGCCCTAAGATCCCCCAAAAACGTCCCCTGAATTCATCTCAAAACCAAACAGTGGTTTAGCTTCACTAGGCAAGAATGTTTGCCTTGAGCCTTGTGTTCTTTCAAGATGGGCCTAGATGGAATCAACTTGACCTCAGCAACTCCCACAATGACACAGAAAGCTAAGGGGCAGTGAGTGGATGTGACCGGGAAAGGGACAGTTCAGAAAAGGATGGGAGTGGCCACACAACTTGAAGAAGGCAGTCAGTGTCCCTGGATTGGACCATGTAGACATGGTTGAGGTGGTATGTTTTGCTGTGTATATTCTCAACAACAACAACAAAAAAAAAGAGGGGAAACGTTTGAAATGAGCACGTTTCAGTCAGTGTTTTGAGCATTTACAGTATATTTGGAACTGTGGTAGGTGCTAAGGAGCCCTGATGGCTCAGTGTCTAAAGCCCTTGGATGGAACCCACCAATGGCTCTGTGGGAGAGCGATGTAGCTGTCTGTTTCCATAATGGTTTCCAGCCTTGGGAAGCCTCTGGGGCAGGTCTGCTGTGCCACATGGGCTGGCTAGGAGGTAGGAATCGACAAGTCCTCCAAGGACAGCATCCTGTGCCCAGTATCTTGAATGCTTGAAATGAAAAGCGTGGCCAACTTTTATTCAGGTTAAAACTCTTGGTTGCTAACCAAAAGGCTGATGGTTTGAACCCACCAGCCTCTCTGTGAGAGAAAGATGTGGCTGTCTGCTTCTGCAATGATTCACAGCCTGGGAAACCCTCCGGGGCTGTTCTGCTCTGCCCCATAGACTCGTTGTCCCATAGGCAATGGTTCTGAGACTGGGTTTGGAATGTCTGCTGTGCATGAGGCCCCAAGCCTCAGGTTGGAGAGATTGTACTAGATCCTACACTAAGTCGTAGTCCTTGGCCCCAACTGGCCCACACTGGGCCCTACCGCCACCCCCACCCCCCACCGAAAGTATAGTGGAGTCGGTTGCGCCCTAAAGCACACGGCCCAGACCTCTCACCCATACAAGGGAAGTGGGCCTGCACTATTTTGGGTAAGGAGCTAATGTGCTGGCCTTTGAGGGGAGAATTGAAGGGGGGCCAGTAGCAGGTGCAGAAGCATGGAGACGCCTCTCAGCACCCTAAGCGGCTTCATTCTTGGTGCCAATGAAACTACTGCCACCTTTTGGCAACAATGAAAATGTTTCCTTTTATGGAAGAAACCAACAAGCCTCACCTTGTGCTTTCCTGTGACCAGTGTTTGTCCCCAAATACACAGACAGAAGCAGCCCCGTTGTGTCATTGGCCTGATCCCCGACTGCAGTCTGGGTGGGACTGACTTAGTAAAGGGTCCCGCATCTCCCCAGGTGAAGGCATTCAGTGGAGGAACCTCGGCAGCGTCAACGCCGACTTCAACTTCACTCATGTGCTGCTGTTGCTACTGCTGGACACCTTCCTGTATGGCCTGGTAGCCTGGTACCTGGAGTCCGTCTTCCCAGGGCAGTATGGCACAGCCAAGCCCTGGTACTTCCTTGTCATGGTGAGCCCTGAGGCTGCTGAGTTTCAGATGGCCTTTAGAATGTTCCCTGTTTGTCAGCAGGGTCTTACCCCACTCAGGGATGGAGTCCTGATTGAAATCATAAAACCCAGGAAAGCTCTCACCTGAACTCCCCAACACCATTGGCTGTAACTGGAGACATGTTCTGTCTCACTGCCGACAGGGTGTCCACACCACACACCGCGCTGGACAACGGGACTCCATGGAGTCAGGCTGGCCCTTGGAGGAGGTCTCTGGGAGTCCACACTGGGACAGGGGCAGCGTCACTGACCCCACCCCCAGAGTCCCCCCTGTGAGAAAAGGCTTTCTCACAGTTGGGTGTGACACGATGACTCAGTCCTCACTCGGTGGTCCCTGGTGGCACAGCTGCCCCTGCCCTTCTCAGACCCTTCCTTAGAGTTTGGAGACATGGGTACGTCGCAGCTCTGGCATTTCCCCAGTCCATAGGGACGCCAACTGCCACCCTATTGGCTCCCCCAGGGCCCCAGATAGGAGACATCCTGGGTAGCGCTGTCCTGGGGGCCTTGGGCTGTGGCCTGAAATGCAGTTCATTAGCGGCAGAAGCGTGAACAAGCTACCTGACTTCTCCAGGCACCGGTTAAATGATCCAGCAAAGAAACTGGGAAAAAAGAATTTTTTAAATGGTTTCACTTTGTTGTTCAGGATATGCGGAATCTAGAAAGGGCTTCTAAAAGTTTGTGGGGGAAAATCCAGTATCTTTTCATTCCATTTTCCATGAACTCACCGAGTTCTGACCCATAGCACCCTGTATAGGGTTTCCTAGGAGCAGCTGGCTCAAACTGAGCCAGCAGTCCAGCGCATTAACCCACTGCGCCACACCAGGACTCTGAAACCTCCTCATACTCGATAAAATGGACATCAACTTAGCCATTTCTATGTGGACATTTTGGTGACATTCTCCCCTTCTTCCCTGAGCTGTTCTGCCCCATGAACATCAACTTACTGCCCCCTAAGTGTCCTCTGTAATCTTTTGAGTTGCCCTTGTCTGACCCCAAATAGATTTTCTTGAAAGAGCACATGCTCAATGCGGACACTCTGTACTTGTGAACCTAGACTGTTGAGTTTTAAGACTTCAGGGATAGTTTTGGTTTGATGTTTAAACATGATCTCAGTGCATAGTTTCAGGGGTTCATCCAGCCTCAGTGTCCCCAGAAAGCCTGGTGCCCATGGGGGTGATAAAGGAATTTTGTGTACAACAAAATTTATTTCCTACAACTAGAGTCAGTTCCTGGCAATATATTCATGTGTAAGTGACTTCTTCTCCAGCCCTCCTACTGGCGTGGAAAACCCATCCCTCTTACTCACTCCGTGTTGCACAGCAAGAGCTTCAGGAAAGTTCCAAAGAGGGAATTTATTCAAGAGGAGCCGGAGGGTTTGATGAAAGGTGTCGAAATCCAGCATCTGTACAAGGTATCCACTCCCTAACTCTTCCCTGAGAATTTAAGGATTAGCCCAAGCAGGCCTCTGTTTCATCCAGATTCCCCTTTGCAATGCTACCCTCAATGTTAGGAATACACCTTAAAATATCCATTTCCAGTTACGAGTGGAGGGCTCAGATGGTCTTTCTAAGAATGGTCTTCTCCCAGTGCCACCCCCACCTCCTGGACACATGGACACATGGACACACTGACACACTGACACACAGCCTGGCTGGCTCTTCTCTGCAGCATTACAGCCAAGGAAGCAAACTCAGGCCATACCTTCCTTCTCCCTCCCTCCTCCCTTCTCTGTTTCCTCCCACCTTGTCTCCCCTCCTTCCCTCCTCTTCGCTTCTCTTTCTTCCCTCCTTCCTTCTCCTTTCCCTCTCTCCCTCCCTCCTCCCTGCCTTCCCTACTTCCTCTCTCCTCACCCCCCCCCTTTCTCTCCCTCCTACTTTCATAGAAGGCCTTCATTAGCTGTCCCCTCACTCTTATTGCCCTGAGTTATATCACTGGGCCACTTCCATTGCAAGGGGGACATGAAGTCTGAGTTCTCCTGCCACCCCTGAATTATAAAGGGGTACAGCTCCTGGGCACTTACAGTACCTGCACCCCAGGCCCCAAGTCCAGCAAAATGCTTCATCGACTCTGGACCAAAAGGAGAAATGTGCTGCCTGATGCTCGTGTGTGTGTGTGTGTGTGTGTGTGTGTGTGAGACGACTCCAAAGAAATGGGTTTCAAAACGCTGGGACATTGGACCAAAAACAGGGTGTTGTCCAGGACGGTCCTCAGGGCAGTGTTCCCACCCCCAGGGGCAGGACACTCTTTCTCAGATGGTGCAGAAAGGAGATCCCACCCACATTCTAAGACATCAGGGGTCCAGGTGCCCTGTGACAAGTTCTAGGGAGCCCCAAGAAGGCCCCCTCTCTCTCCCACTCTGTCCTGGGTATCTATCACTAGGCAGTTCATCCCCTTTGGGATTTCCACCTGGCCTCTGACGGTGACCTGGGAAGGGGAGTAGCTGTGGGCCCAGAGCTGCACCCACGTCTGGGCCCCACGCTCTCTCCTGCAGGTGTTTCAGACAGGAAGGAACCGGAGCACTGCGGTCAAGGACCTGACGATGAATCTGTACAGGGGGCAGATCACTGTGCTCTTGGGACATAATGGAGCAGGGAAGAGCACCACCTGCTCTGTGCTCACAGGTGTGTGCGCCCCCAACCTTTTCCAGCCCCCCAGGAGCCATGAAGCGCAACCTCCATGTTTGCCTCCATCTCTCCTCATGTGACTTCATCAACATTTTAATAGTGAACCTTTTGTTTACCATCTACATAGTGTCTGCTGGCACAGAGGGTTAAACACTGAGCTGTTGATCACAAGGTTCTAATCCACCAGATACTCCTTGGGAGAAAGATGAGTCTGCTCAGAGTCAGAATAGATGCTGTCATTTCTAAGGCGCCCTGGTGGGCATGGTTAGGCTGCAAAAGGAAAGGTTGACTTGTGCCCAGCAGCATCCTCCACAGGGGAAAGACAGCAGCCTACGGCAGCGGGCGCACATCTACCCTGTCCCATTGGGTCACGTGTGTCAGAACTGAACCAGGGGCACACAACTACAACAAGTGTAGAAAGCTCAGCACAGACTCAGTAGCCGAGCTTGAATCAGATGGCCTGGAGCCACGGCGTCCAATTCTTACCAACTCCAGATAAAGGAAGACAGAGGAATGTCTGTGTTCAGTCATCGGAAGTTCACTGCCAGAACACCTCACAGCAAACAGGCGGGTCGCTGGTGTCCAACAGACTCTTGGTTGCCAGCACTTTGTACTCTATGTCTCCAAAGCATAGTCTCACACTACGTGCCAGGATTATAATTCTCATATTCACACAAAGTCACAAGATGGTCATGACGCCCCAACACCTCAAAGGAGGGCCTCAGTAACTGTCCTGATGCCTGTTTGTCCAGATGGTCACTCCTCATCAGGGGCCAGGCTCCAGGCAGAGCCAAGCACTTAGGAACACTCCAACTTCAAACAGGACGCACAGTTAAGAACCCAGGACAGGTGGGGTATGCATTTTCCGGCAGTGCTTGATTACTTTGACTCTTAACTAAGCAAACCAATGGAGCCCTGGTGTGGCACTGTAGGGCAAGGTTGGTGGTTCAATTCATCAGCCACTCCTCAGAAACCCTATACAGGGTCCTTATGAGTCAGAAATGACTCGGCAGCCCTTACCAACAACAGTAAAGCAAATGGTGTGCCGTGGAGTCAGTTCTGACTCAGAGTGACCCTGAATAGGGTTTCCAAGACTGCAAATCTTTACGGGAGCAAAAAGCCTCATATTTCTCCCTCAGAAAGGCTGGTAGTTTCGAACTATTGACTTGTAAAATGGCTGCACTATTGCTTTCAGACTGAGGCTTTTCCACCCTGCCAGGAGCTCTGCCAGAGCTTCCTGTCTGCAGCTAGAACCCCAGACTACAAGGAAGTTCCTGGCCCCTCAGCGCTCCTCCTGGGGGATGGATACACTTTCCAGCAAAGGGGTGAAGCTGGGTCTGAGCAGACTTGGCTGCCCCTGCTGCAGGAATTGTGACAGCTGGGGCGTGGCCCAGGAGTACCCTAATGGGCTTACTTGGGATCAAATGCCCCTGCCTCCTGGACTGCTGTGCACTAGTGTCTCAGGGCCATGGTCCCCTCTCGGGCAGTGACCATGACCACTTAGGGGAGTTCTCCCCTCCTAAGTAGATCTGTGAGGTCCTTGATCCCCGAAAGGTAGCTCAGCTAGACTCCCGGACCAAGCAGTCAAGGAAACAAGTCAGATCCTAGCGCTGCTCAAGGGGGTCAAGTGACACCAACGCCTACAGCGTGTATAAGAACAGGCCCTTTGCCGCATGTGTTTTCACTGCTTCTAGGTCTCATGCCTGCTTCAAGCGGAAAGGTTTATCTCAACGGCTATGAAATCTCAGATGATGTAGATGAAGCTCGAAAGAGCCTGGGCTGGTGCCCCCAGCACGACATCCTGTTTGATGACCTAACAGTGTCCGAGCACCTGCTCTTCTATGCTCAGGTGAGTGGGTGGGACAAGGACTTGCTCCTCTGAGTCCTTCTGTTGGGCCCAGCGGGAGGATCTGCAGTGCTCAGCCTCACTGCCGCTGCCAGGGTGGCGGGGTAAAAGAGATGGGCATGAAGTCAAGACTCCGGAGTTAAAGCATTTCTAGAGCTATTAGATTGAAGTTGTTTCACTGGAGACTCCCGGGTGGTGCAGAAGGCTATGCGTTAGACTGCTAACTGCAAGGTCAGTGGCTGCTCCCACCATGGGGGAGAGATGCGGCAGTCTGCTTCCGTAAAGACTGCAGCTTGGAGACTCTATGGGGCAGTACTCCTCTGCCAGCTGTGAGTCGGAAACGACTCTGTCTGGTTTTTATTGCCATAAAACTCACATAACATAACATTTACCATTTCAACCATTGTTAAGTGTACAATGCAGCGGTTTCCAGTGTACTCACAGTACTGCATGGCCATGGTTACCATCTAACACCGGACCACTGTCACTGCCCCAGAAGGAACCTCGTTCCTTACTCCCTCTCCTGGCCCCTGGCAGCCACTTTCTTTCTCAGATCTCTTTTGGCTTCCTGGGTGTGCCTGGCTTCTTTCACTCAGTACGGTGTTCTCAAGACTCATCCATGCTGTACCACAGACAGTACTGCACTCCCTTCTATGACGGAAACATCCACGGTCTGGATCCACTTGGTTTATTCATCTGTCCAGGAGCGGATATTTGAGTTGCTCCCACTTTGGCCCAGTGTAACTAATGCTGCTCTGAACATTCATGTGCAAGGTTTCATGAGCATGTCTTTTCAGCTCCTCTGTCCTGGAGTAGAACTGGCTGAACCGTTAAGGGGCTGAGCAGCTGTACCTCTTCACATCCCATTTCTCCGCATCCTCTCCAACACTGTCTCTCTTGGTTGTTGTGAGGAGTCCTATAACATGTGTTTGGAGTCCTGGTGTGGCACTGTAGGGTAAGCACAGACTGCTAACCACAAAGTCAGTGTTTCAAATCTACCAGCTGCTCCTTGGAAACTCTGTACAGGGTTGCTTTGAGTTGGAACCGCTTAACAACAACAAACAATATGACGTGTATTTCCCACTGGAAATGACAATGGTGGAGGAAACAATCTAATCAAAGAAATCCAAAGTCATTGTCAGAATATTCAGCCATCACACTTAGTGACTTTCCCCACATAGTCACGGTGATGGTAGCGCTGGACAGCCGCGGTGCTGAAGATACCGTAGAAGGGAACATTCCCTGAATCAGAACTCGGCGATTCTGAAAGTATCGTCCAGTTCACTGCACCATGAGACACTACTGTATTCAGCACAATAGACTCTAAGTCCTAGGCATAGAAAAGGCCCAGTCTGTAGTTTCTACCTTTGGAATGAGCAACAAGTAAACAGCAACAGAGGACACGAGAGAGAGCGAGACCTCTTAGCCAGGGTCCAGTCCAGTCTGTCGGCGTAGTTAATCACAGAGATGTGTCAGGTGGGGAAGAGCTGAGTGAGTATGCTGACAGCCCTCCCCTTCACTAACTGCCACTAAACATGGCTTCCTCACCTCAAGCTCCAGCTGCTCTTTTCCTTTCTTGCCTTCCTTCCTTCTTTCATACTTTCCTGCTTTTCTTTTCTTTTCAGCCCCTTCCTTCCATCTCTCTTTTTTCCTTTCCTTTACTATAGCCATCCTTCGCTGCTGTTGTTAGCACTGTCGAATCGGTTCCAACTCATCGCAAGCCTATATAGACTTTCCAAAGAACGGCTGGTGGGTTTGAACCACCAGTCTGTGGATCACAGTCCAGTGCCTACCCTGCAGCACCACACCAGGACTCCATAGCCACCTGCTGTGTCTCCTTGTGATTTCGATTTGACTTTCCCTGTTGACTAATTATGTTGAGCACCTTTTCATGTACCTATGAGTCATTTGTTTATCTTTGGAGAAATGTCTAGTCAAGTCCTTTGCCCATTTAAAAATGGTTTTATTTATGTTTTTGTTGTGGAATTGGGAGAGCTTTTTCATATATTCTGACTGTAAATTCCTTATCAGATATATAGGACTTGAACATTTTACTTTCTTAATCTTGATCTTGAATAAACATTTTAAATTTTTATGAAGGCTGCTTGATCTGTTCTCCTGTTTTATTGCTTGTGCCTTTGGTGTCATGAATCCAAGATCATGAAAATTTACACCTATGCTTCCCTCAAAGACTTACATGGTTTAAGGTCTCCCATTTGGATCTTCAATCCTTTCTAAGTTGATTTTGTGTATGGTGTGAGGTAATAGTCTCGCTTCACTGCAGAGAATATCCAGGCCAGCATCATTTGTTGAAAAGACTGTTTTCCCTCATTGGCACACTTGTTGAAAATCAATTGCCCTTAAATGTGAGCATTTCTTTCTGGACTTTCCATTTTCCCTTAATAGATGTGTTTACTCTGCGCCGAGGCCATATTGTCACTTTGTAGGTACATTTTTGAATTGGGAAGCATGAGTCTTCCAATAATTTTGTTCTTTGACAAGATCCTTTTGGGAATTCTAGAAACTTGAATTTATAAATAAACTTAGGATCAGGTTGCCATTTCTGAAAAACAAACAAACAAAAATACTTAGCTTTTAATAGTGATTGTATTGACTCTGTAGCTCAGTGTGGGAAGTATTGCCATCATACTGACTTCAAGTATTCCAGTTCATGGACTCAGGAGAGCCCCCATTTATTCAGGCCTTCGGAAATTTCCTTCAACAATGTTTTATAGTTTTCTTTGCATACGGCTTATGTTTCTTTGGTTAAAATTTTTTTTTTTTTTTTATGCTACTATAAGTGGAGTTTTCTTCTTAATTCCAGTTTCAGATTCAGTGCTAGTATATAGAAATTGGGTTTTATATATTGATTTTCTATCCTGCAACTTTGCTGGCTCATATACTAGCTCTGATAGTTTTTTTGTGGATTCTTTATGATTTTCTATAAAAGAACATGTCATCTGCAAATAGAAATCATTTTACATCTTCTTTCCAGTGTCCTGGAACTTCAAGTACAATGTTGACTAAGGAGGGCAGATGTCTTGGTGTTGTTTGGCTCTTAAGGGGGACATTTCAGTCTTTCACCATGAAGCATGGTGTTCCCTTTGTGCATTGGATGCCTTTGATCAGGTTGAAGAAATCCTGTCTATTCCTAGTTTGTTGGATGTTTTTATCATGAAAGAGTGTTGTATCTTGCCATATGCATTTTCTGTACTGATTGAGATGATCGTGCGTATGTGTGTGTGTGTTTATCCCTTCTTTGTATTGATATGGTGTATTGCACTGACTGATTTTCACATGTTGAATAACACATGCATTCCTGGGATAAATCCTACTTGGGTTTACTCCTTTATATGCTGTTATATTTGCCTTTTGTTTTACTTTAAACTTTTTATTGTGAATTGAAGACAGTTTACAAAGCAAATAATCAATTTTACATTCAACAAATTGTATACTTTGGGTACCATCAGTTAAGAGTCTTTACCTCTATCCATGTGAACTCTTGCATTCCTCCCTGTGTCTCCCGCTACCTTGCTCTTGCCTCTGCCAAACTCCCTCTTGTTACTTATTGCCTGCTTTATTACCCATGTTTACACATGTCTGCCCTTTGGCCCCTCCCCTTCCCCCTGGCCTTTTGTGGTTGACATACAATATCTGTCCTTTTGTGGTTGATTAATTTCACTCAGCATAATACAATACGTCGTTTGATTTCTTGACTGCTGCTTCAGTGAGAGTAGATGATTGATCCTAACAAAATGAAGTCTTTGACAACTTCAGTCTTTTCTCCATTGATATGAATGTTGTTTATTGGTCCAGTGGTGAGGATTTTTGTTTTCTTTACATTGGGATGCAACCCATACTGAAGACTGTGGTCTTTGATCTTCGTCAGTAAGTATTTTAAGTCTTCTTCACTTTCAGCAAGCAAGGTTGTATCATCTGCGTATTGCAGGTTGTTAATGAGGTTGGTTTCTTGTAGTAGTGTTTTATAGTTTTCTTTGTATAGCTCTTTTACTTCTCTAGATAGACTTGTTCCCAAGTATTTCATCTTTTGGATGGCTAAGGAGCTCTGGTAGCATAGTGGTTATGAATCGGGCTGCGAACCTTAAGGTCAGCGGTTCGAAACTACCAGCAGCTCCGCGGGAGAAAGATGAGGCTTTCTACTCCCGTAAAGATTTACACCCTCGGAAACCCTGTACAGGGTC